ACCGCGCTCGGCCCATGGCCGCGCGGTTAATAATAAACCACGGGTAAACCTAGAACCGCGCTCGGCCCATAGCCGCACGGTTAAAAAAGAAATAAAAAAAAATAAACCACGGGTAAACCATGAACCGCGCTCGGCCCATGGCCGCGCGGTTAAAAAAAATAAGCCACGGTTAGAACATGAACCGCGCTCGGCCCATGGCCGCGCCGTTAAAAAAAAAAAAAAAAAACGGAGCCGAAATTTAAACCCAGGCCTCACTGCCAGGCGCCAAATTTGAAGCTTGGAGACACAAAATGTTTCATATTTTTCACTTTTTCCAATCTGATATGGTTTAAGGAATTGTAAATCCCTTTTCGTGAATTTTTAATGCCATCTCCAGTGAGAAAAGTTGCCTGATCTCAATGCTATTCCTGTTAACTTTCATTGAGGTCACTCAAGAGATTATCAAGGTAAGAGGTGAATCCCCCATATAGGTCCTCTAACTAAGGTAATCCCTCTTAAGTTACTTTTAGACACGGGACCCAGATCTTCTGAGGATGCTACTCGCGCGATGCATGGACAGTCGAAGCGACTTTCTCGAAACTACCTGAGACGAAATGGCGGGAACGCCATTTTATACGTTTTGATTTCGTTTCATAGCAGAGATGTTTTCTGCACTCTCAGCCGTCTTTTTGTTCGGCCGGGCTTTCGTTTGTTTTGTGCTCGTTTGGCTGCTCATTATTTGGCCGTTTATTCGGTTNGATGTTTTCTGCACTCTCAGCCGTCTTTTTGTTCGGCCGGGCTTTCGTTTGTTTTGTGCTCGTTTGGCTGCTCATTATTTGGCTGTTTATTCGGTTTTAAGGAGTTTTTAAGCAAACTTTAAAGGCAACGGCAACGAGTACAATGGTTGTGTATGCGTGCGTTATAATTCTTTGTTCATTTCTTTGCCGTTCGTTGTTTACAAAAGGTCGCAAAACAACAACGTGAAATAGCCACTTTCTGCATATTCGAGAGAACGTGAACTATGCGACGGCCAATTTTTCAAATTTCTTTTTCGAATTTTGACGCCGTCTTACATATTCTGGTTGGGATATTTCTGACAGTATACACAAACTGAATGAATCTAAATTCTCGCGAGATTCGAAAGCTGAATATTAAGTCGTTTTTTAATCGATGTTGCCTTTAGCGTTGCTGCCGTTGCTGCTTAAACCGCTTTTGCTACTTGGGCAGCGAACGTCTTCCCGCACTTTCGACCATCTGTTTGTTCGGTTGCCAAGCTTGTGTTTGGGCGTTTGTTTGATTTAATTTGCACTCGTTTGTTTACTCATTTCTCTGCCGTTCTTTCACTTGTTATTGTTTGTGCAGGGGACATCCGTCTCTTATTTTAACTCCTATTAAAGTTTCGAAATGTATTAAAACATACCGAGAGCCGAAACTCCTTTGCTTGTAGTCAAAATATCAGACATCCCCAAAGCGTTGGAGGTTTTCCTTTGCTTTGAAAAGCTTTTGAAACGAAACAAAATGAAACGAAACATAAACATATCCTCCCGGAAACATCCACGCAACGCGCGAGTAATATCCGCGCAAGAACTGAGTAAAACGTCTAAAAATAACTTAAGAGGGATTACTGTAGTTAGAGGACCTATATGGGAGATTCAATCTCTTACCTTGATGATCTCTTGCGTCAGGACAATAAAGTTTTTCCCGCCCGTTGCGTGATCCTCATTGGTCAGTTCAAATTTCAGGCGCGCCAGCCGTATGCAAGGCTGTGATCAATTACTGAACGGACGCACGGCAACATGGAATCTATTGATAGTTGAAAATAGCGTTTTCTTAATTTTACGATGGCACCGAGATAAATCATTCTATTTGGTGCGGGTCCCAATACTCTGAGACTGGACAAATTTTTTTTTTCCTGAGCTTACTTTATTATTTCAATGTGCCGGGGGTCAATCAATATTCGATAATTAACATATTCATGAATAACAATTTGTCTGGCATGTTGATGAAGGAAATAACTTATTAACTGTACTGTAGCTTTGTTTATAAGCAGGAGAAAAGTCATTATATTTTAAAACACCTGCGTCTTTCAAGACGAAGGTAACAGCTCCAAGCTGGAGGTCCACTTTCGCATATATAAATTACAAAGAAGGAGCAAGAACTAGCTCATGTCAGAAAAAGTAAAAATAAAACTCATAATTGTCTCGGGTCAAACTCAGTTATCACCAGAGGGGCCCTTCTTGCCCAGCATATCAACGAGCCTAGATTTTTAGAAAAATGGCTTGCGTGCTTCAAAACAGGTTTTCTTTACTGTCCAGCTCTACTCCAATCAGTCTTGAAGACAGAAACTCTATGACTTCTATGTGACGTCTTTGTGTCTAAGGAAGACAATTAGGTAAGCCGTGAAAATAAGCCATTTGCCTGTAGGCAAAGACAGTTAATTTACGCGGACCTACAAGGCCTTTAAGTGAGAACTGTCACTGACTTATTGGCAGGTAACTTCTTAGGGGTTATCGTCAACCGTTAATTTTCGAGTGAATCTGCTCGTTGACTACTGCATCACAGCGCGGTTGTGAACTCTTTACAAGATGAAGTCTGTATCGTTTGCCTTCATTTCTTTCCTGGTTTTCTTTCAAGTCAGTGATGCTTCCAACATGGATCACCTTCAAGAATACATGCACACTAATCTCTTGCCTCCGAAGCCAAAAGGCCATCCTGCTGCATATACCCCTGAATTGACATTTGTATGTCCAGGAGAAGTTAAAATCGCTTGGCAAGTACGGCCGCCGTTCACCGTAGAACAAAATGCTAGTGATGGTCACTCGATTCACGGGATTTTCCACCAAGCCCTAGATTTCGCTTTGGAAAGGTGCTGCGCGCATTACAATGGAAAACGACCAATAATGCGATACCTAGCCGAGTCTGAAAACGCATCTGCGCTGCATGGCAATATTTTCTCGAGCGACGCAAACTTGGTTTTTCCTTTACAAGATGATTTGTTCATTGACAGAAGTAGGTGGTGCTATATCAACATACTGAACTCTCCTGGAGCAGTGTTGGTGCGGAGGGAAGACTCAACCAACAAAGGTGGTGAACTGTTTAAAGCTATTTTGGGAACATGGCCTATTGTGGTTTTGAGCCTTTTAATGTCCTCTTTGGCTGGAGTGTGCATCTGGATATTAGTAAGTTTTTAAACACGAAATTAAAGTAGTTGATATAGAAAAACCCACTTGAAAATTACCATATTGTTGATACAAAAATGGAAATGAGTCTATAATTTTTCCACTACGTCCTTATTTAAAAGAAATAATGTTGCTTTTCAGGGGGAAAAAGAATCGGGACTTTCGTTACTTGATTCAGTTCGATATGTCGAAAGGCAACTTTTCTCCAGCTTAAGCGAATCATTTTGTGCTAGAATCAACTCCAGGTCGACTTCAGTCACGACTGAAACAATTAACTAACCGATGAACAGGTGAAAAGAGGTCTCATCTTTCCACCCAACAAAAGTTTTGAAAAGTTCAAGCACAACCAAAAATTGATTTTAGAACCAATTTTTGCGAAATTCAACAATCATACTATTCAAGGTAAAAGCTAAATGTTTCCCCACTGGAAGTCAACGACTTATTGAGACTTTGACCATACAATTAAACCTCTATTTAGTGGACTCCTCTAATTTAATGATCAGTTGTCATGGTCACCAAAATATAGTCAGCACAATACCGTGAATAAGACGTATATTGCCTCAGGTCGTTTGATAACCACTAAAAATGTCACAGAAGTAATCGAAACTAGTAAAGGGTGCAAAACATGATCTGAAAATGTAAAAATTATGGTATGACGTTTACTTATGAAAAAAGAAAATTACTCTTACATTTAAACTCCTTGCGGTCATGTTTCGCCTTTCCCAGTGTTGAACATTGTTAAAGGATCATACATATTATATATTGTTCTTTATTAAAAGAACCAATCAGAATATTGGAAAGTTGTTGTATGCTCGACGGCTTTACACCCACGCTGCCATCTTAATCCCGCGCTATTATTTATTTTGTCTAAAGCGCAGCCGAAAATGATCGAAGTTTAGAAGAACAAAACACGCTTAATAATCATTTCGTTCGTGTCATTTCGTTCAGACGATCAACAAGAAATAAGTTTGGATTTCCTTTACCTGGGACTGAGAATCTGAAAACTTAGCGAAAGTAAAGGGTGTGTATTAATTACTTGCGGTTGCGAACACAGTGACGCAGTAACACAGTAACATACTAAGTCAAAAACTGCCGGCGCCTTACAAACGACTTATCCATGACGGAAACGAAACCGACAAACGGACTTCTAGCAGACCGACATTATTTGACTGACAATAGACGGGCCAAAAAACCGACCAATTTGACTAACAATAGACTGATCGAAACCGACCAATGACTGATGACAAACTTTACACGAGTCCTTCAGCCAATACCATCATGGCTAAACTGACCAATCACGTTCAACGGAACAGACTTATAACATCATCGACTGACAAACTCCATTCACTTGACTCTGAAGATGACTTCCGCTCAGGTTGTCGAAACGTCAGTCACCAACACCAGTTCTTTTCAGAACTACCCTCACCTGGACGATCACACGATGAGAACTAATGGGTTCAAACCATTTACTACAGTAACATACTGTAGCTGAAGCACGGGTGTCATGATATCTCAAGTAGACTTTTTTTGCTGCAAAGTAGCTTCCTTCCTGTTCTTAGTTGTAAGCTTTTTTTAGTTCTCTCTTACACCAACTCGTTTTATTTTTGAATTTAATAAAATTTCGCTCGCTGCTCCGATTTACAAGGTACTTAATTATGAATGCACGGTTCAAACAGTCTCGGAAGTTTTCTCTAGATAATGCGAACATGAAGTGACCGTTTGCTGTTCCTTTTAAAAAATATGAAGCCAAGAATGCATAGCCACATTTACATACATGTATACAGCCAAAATTTAAGTGTTAAATAATTCATATCAATGTACTCAATTTTTTTATTAACTGCATATTTATTTTCTTTTCTGGTGAAGGACACCAGAACCAATCCTACAGAGTTTAGCCGTCCCTTCTACCTTGGAGTGTTCGATGGCTTCTGGTGGGCCTTTGTTACAATGTCAACGGTTGGGTAAGTCTGCACTTCAATATGTTTCTGATTAAGAATAACTGAAAATATCCTTAAGAAGACCCGTGTAGGTCCTCTTGCAAAAGTGATTGTGAACATATGCCAAGCGAGGGCATCCAAAGATGATAACTTCTGACTGCATTTCGTGTTGCGATTCCATAGTGAACTAAATATTGGTACCTGGTCCGTTGATGTACTGAAAGGTATATGGCCTCGTTGCCCATCTATATCCCCCCTATAATAATCTAAGTAATCTTTAAAACGTTGTCTTTTGATATTTTTATATTTCCTTAAAAATGTAGATATGGCGACAAGACTCCAAAGTCTATAAGTGGCAGACTATTCTCCGTAGTGTGGATAATGACTGGTATCACAGTCTGTTCAATACTAACAGCCACACTTTCCAGTGCATTGACGAACGTCACGGTCAGTGTGGAGAGATATGAGGTGACCACGGGAAAAACGGTGAGTGGCAGACTTGAAATCATAATTTGTGGTTTCTATGTGGCAATTACTGACTAGTACATGTCGATATTTTTATCGCTGTTGGGTTTATGTAAACCCTTGTTCTTACCTTAAAAAATTTTAATTTCCTATTCTTAAGCAAAGATAGGCTATCAAGGTTGAGTTCCAGCGACCTTTCAGATAGTAAAACGGACCGTGCCATAGCAGTATTTGTACGGAAATTGTATACGTATGATAAAACGTATTTTTTAGTACCGTAAATCCTCGACTTAGCGCCCGGAACGCTTATTTCAAATTCAGGAGAAGACGGGGGGCCGCTTCTTCGAGGGGGGGCGCTTTTTTAATTTTTCCCAAATCGTGGCCTGACATGGTCATTTTTTTAATGCATCATGTGCGCGACAACAGCAACATAAGCTGTTTATCGACATAAAAGCTGATCTTTAAACTCGCGGCGCCGTTAGTACTTGTAATTTTTTTCCAAACTTAACGAGTTCACAAGCTGAAACAATGCACAAATCTAATATTAAACGACGAAAGCTATACGTCCTTTGTTGTCTCATTACTCGTCCACAAAATGGGGGGAGGGGAGGGGACCGGAGGGGGCGCTTATTCGAGGGGCGCTTATTTTAAATTTTGGCCGATAGGAGGGGCGCTTATTCGGAGGGGGCGCTTATTCGAGGGGGCGCTAACTCGAGGATTTACGGTATTTGTACCGATACTAGTTGATCTAAAGTGGGATTGGGTCGACAGACTATTTTGACAATCTTATGACGAACTTCCTTATTGGTGAGAGTACAGACGCACAACCAAGTCAAATTGAGCCTTAAAAGCAAGTGTTGGCTTCAGGCGAGAGAAAACGCCAGTTCATACAGTGTGAGAAAACTTAACCAAACCGCTCCGAATATCAGGATCACGACCTTGTAAACACGATAAGTTCACAAAATATCATGCAAAGACTGAACTAAAAATAGATGACATAAGCCAAGTTATGTATCAAACACAAGAGACAGTGTTTCATAACATTTCTAAACACTGAGAAGAGGCGAGTGACGTGCAGAGGAGTATTGTTTGATAAAATTTGAGACGCACTTTCTCTCATGTTGATAGTTCTTATTAATTGAATCTAAAATCAAATGAGGAGAAAAAAGGGACATAAAAAAGTAAAAACCTATGCTAATTGAAAAAAAAAAGTGATGTTTGTCTTTAGGGAACCGTTTACGGTCGTAGATGTAATTTGACAATCTCTCCTAAGAGATATTTCCAACATTATTTCACTCATTATTCTAGCTGGAATTCTAACCCTGCCTGTTAATATTTTTGTTCGTGCCTACCTCATTTCGAGTCTTTGAATCGCTGAAAGTTGATAAGTTCGATTTCCGCCTTCCTCTCTGTAGGCTGCGAGCAGGTTCTCACTGCGCGTTGGGCAGTAGCCGTCGGCTCTCGCCTTGTGAGCCGAAGGCTTTGCTCGTGCCACCAACGGAGAGGCTCGCAGGCTACCCTCTCTGCTGGATTTCTCGTTCGTTCCTATTTGTCCTGAATAACTAAAAAATACTCAGGACCTCCATATACAAAGACTACAAATGTGTTCATTGGCATGTCATTCAAATTACTTACGCAGGTTGGCGCACGAAAGGAGAGTTTTGCCTTCAAACATGCTGTTAATCTTGGAATAAACGTCACGCGTAAGTCAGACAAAACACAACTTACAACATTTGAATTACTTTCGGTTGCCTTTTTATCGGTAATCAGTAGGGCCAGTTTCATAATTGAAAACGCAAAATAATGTCAAATTTTGTAATTATTGGTGTTCGATATAACAAATTTTTACTCATTTTGTAGATTTTAATGATCTGTATGAAGCGTACCATTTATTGGAAAATGGAAAAGTGGAAGGCATACTGGAAGAGATGTTTACGGCGATTGAGTTTATCAAAGGAAAAGCTGACTCGCGGCTGACGGTTGCACAAGTACTGGAGGAAAAACACGGATATGGTGCAGCAATAAAGAAAGAAGACTTCGACCCTGATGTGCGGGAGTGCCTGCCGAAATTAATTGAGTTTTCCTCCTATGAGGTTTATTCCAATACAAGTAAATTTGTCAAGGTAAGGTTGCCACTGCAACGCTTGCCACCCCTGCTGTTTCCTCAGCTGCTGCGGCTGCTACCACCTCTCCCACTGGCGCTGCTGTCTCTTACTATCACTACAACAATGACCATGCAGCTGACCTCGATCATTTTACGTATCAATTCACGGAACACAATACCAACAAGCAAAGGTCCATTTTATGGTATATGATGAATATCTTACGAGGTCTCCAATCCCATACAGCCAGATTGGTTTCTAGGCCTTTTCGTTTCTTTGTGCACTGTTTGATTGTATTTTCTACTATGGGATGGTAAAGAAAATAAATATTTTCGGCCTCTTCTCGTCATGTTGTTTATATATATATCTACGAGCTTTCAACAAAAGTGTTTTAAGGGAACTTTACTAAAACCACGAGTTTGGATCTTCTGGTGACCCACGAAAGTATCATTTATAAAATAATTTCTCCTCAGATGTGTAATCTCGTAATCTTTTGTTTTCAAGCGTTCATACACACCTATAAAGAACTTGCCAGGTACTGAACTGACTGATGGAGACCAGAAGCTATTCAACCAAAATTCATATTCATTTAAAGCAATGACTGTCGGAGTTTCTGTTGCTTTACTTGTGTTCACTGCTTGCGCTGTTGGGTTTGCGGGAGTCAGGTATCTGCGACGAAAGCGAGAGAAGAAGAAGAAGAAAGCAGTTGACTTGGAAGTTGGCAAAAAATAGGTAGAAAATACTTCTATACACACCTAGTTCTTGTCATGTTGTTTTATTATATTTATTTTTTATGTTGTGCGATGTCAATGAAATAACCCTAACCGTAATAATTCCTTTAAGAAACAAGCGTTTTTCAAAATGCGAGAGCTTTATTAGCAGCAATATTTTCATTGTTCCAAATAACCTGATGAACAACATCCCCATAAGATAATAGAGAAGATTGGTTTAACATGGACCTCGCGAGAAGGACTGGGATGAGAGGTCTGATGGGTTGTGGGGAATAGAGAAATTTCAATATTGTAATGTAATTGAATCTACAATCATGGACAAAAGTCTTGGGACAAATTTACACTTGTGGCGCTTTTTCACACGCGCCAAACAAACAGTCAAGCGTGAATTCAACTACACTTGCTCAGCCCCTCCCCCCACCCCACCTACAATGTTGGACATTTCTCCAGAGTTTCAACATTGATTGTATGGGGTGGGGGGGGGGGGGGG